TTCGCCGAAGACACAAGTGTCCCCCTGCTCTATGCAATCCTGATATGGGATCTGGAAATAGGTTGCCAGGCAGGTGATGAGCGGGGTGCAGTGGAGGGTCCCCAAATTAACAGCTCTCTTGTCTAGGGTCCATGCCACCACAGAACCCAGGTGGAGATTATGGTTCGCCGTGCAGATGGAGTGGATGAAGTACATGGACCGCCTGGTCAGGGTGTTGGCATTGTCCCCAGCTGGGGTGAACGACTTCGCTAGCAAGTGGTGGAGTATACGGTTATCGAGCTGCAAGGTGCTAGTGACTAGCTCCTACTGTCACTCTAGAAAATAGCCAAGTATAACCACCTCCTAAAGCGTAGTATAGCAAGTTTGGGTTTTAATGTCAACCCAGGTCCTAGATGTGATGACTACTCCGTGAGTTATTATTTAGCAGTTAAACTTTAGTGAAGGTCCAAACAAGCAAAGCTAGTAAAAAGGTTGTTTTCAAGTCGAGAGAGGTCACCCGGATATAGTTCCCCCTAGACTGCAGTTAAGCCGGATTGTAATTTACCAAGTTCAGGTTCAATGATAATTATACTGCGGGAGGTTCTTAAACAGTCTGAAGTCTCGACTAAAGGTCTCCAGAACCTCTCAATCTGAGTCTCCATCGGACGACTAACCTCCACCGGAGTAAACAGATTGAGGCCCTAACGAACCAAACCTCCACTACTGAAGTAAATTTGGTACAAAATAGTGAATTGACTTCTTGACTTAAGTCGTCAATTCACTACCTTAAATCAAGTGTGCTCTATCAACCTAGGCAGAAATTCTCTTTCTAGGTTAAAGCAGAAACAACATGAATTTGATCAGGATTCATGCCATTCAATAAATCAAACCTCAATTGAATATAATCATATCACAGAATCTGTACTTGGGTTCATACAATCAGACATAACATACAAATCTAGGGTTCTTCATACCCAGGTGAATCAGGAAGTTACTCCATAGAGAGAGATGGAAAATCTAGCTCAGATGCGGAAACCATATTGCGAAGAATGGGAATCTGCTTCTGGCACTCAATCAGGTCTTCTCTAAGCTCAAGCCGTGCTCCAATGGTGATGGAGATTGATCTATGACACTTGCAGGATCAGTTTCGTCACTATCTCTCTCTAGGTATCGCTCTTTCTCTCTAAAACTCATAACTCCTCTCCTTTTGCTGGAAATTGGGTTAAAACCCAAAAATTCCCGACTCACACGACCATGTGACTTTCCCAGCTGCCCGTGTAGCTTTGCAAAATGCGGCGTTTCGTTAAGTGACTTCGGGCTTCCTACACGGCCAGACCCACACGGTCGTGTGGATTTCCAGGATGCCCGTGTGAGTTCCCTGGAATTTCCACACGGCCACAAGGGGTCCCCTACACGGCCCGTGTGATTTTGTCCGTGTAATTCGATGTCACACGGCCAGGTCACATGGCCGTGTAGGTTTTAGGCGTGCCCGTGTGGCTCCATCAGCTTCCCCGCCAAATGTCCAATCTTCGTCCAATCGACCCCGAACTCGTTCCCAGGCTTGAAATATCACAAACAAGAACAACCTAGCGTGAAATCGGCCTAAAACGCGAGAATCGACATCTCAAACGGCTCAAGAATAGGGGTAAAAACATGTGTAATCAATGGTCTATCAAACTTCCCCACACTTAACCGTTTGCTTGTCCCCAAGCAAACCTAACTCAAACCAATGAAACTCTCCAGACCTCTATTGCAACAAACAACCCCGATCGTCGGTAGAGGATTTTCTAGATCATATAGCAGCTTACGAGGTCAACTGGTCTTCTAAGATGTTCCCTATCTCTCTCAATGCGAGTACTAGACTCAAGCCAGGATCATGAGAAGAAGTAGAATTAAGACGGTCAATTCATGGATAAAGGGACTCACACCATTCACAACCAAGGACTCGTGGTACCGGGGTGCTCTTTCACTTCATTTCACCGTTAGAACCCCTTTTTTTCACTTCCATTTTACTTTTTTTTCTTCACTTAGCGGGGGTTCTTACTGCAGTCTTTTGCACGGTCGACCCTTATTGGTCGAGCAAGAGCAATTTCCGTACATCTGGCGCTCACCAGAGTAGTTCTTTTAACTCCTTTTCCTCAACTCGTGTGGAGGGTCAATGAAATTAGGGGGGGGGGGGGTCGAAAAGCTCTATCCGTGCCTTTAAAAACACATCCTCAAGTAGGCAAACCGTTCAACGGGTGGAAGTTTTACTTGTACTAGAGACAACTTAGCTTCACCTTGTAGGAGTACCCCACTAAGGATCACTAAAATCTCTTCCAAAACCCGATTTTGTGCAATGAACGGTGCCGCACACGTTGGGCTTACCCCATGTTTAAGATTTAATGATTTTGACATGGAGGACCAACTGCATTTCATTTTTCACATGAGCACCCACTACAACAAATTCGGCCTATTAGGACAAAAAATTTATTTTGTCATTTTTTGTTTGTCACAATAGGAACGGTAATATGAAAAAAAATAATATATGTCCTATTTGGTATGCCTAATGTGACAAAATAATTGTTGTCAGAATAAGTCGTCATTTAAAGTGAGTAATGTGACAAATATTTTGTGTCACAATTAAATTTATCACAATAGGTATCCCATACCGGGATGTAAGAGACATAAAAATGACAAATTATATTGTCAGAGTAGCTTTTGTCATATTATCCCTTCTTGAATTATTTAAATGACAAAGTATTTTGTCACATTAGATAGCAATAATCCTACGACGAGCTGACAAAAGGGCATGTTCGTCATAATATAGTGGTTTCGGCTTTGACAAAAGACATTTTCGTCATAATATAGTGATTTCTTTTTTAGCTCCAAATTGAAAATTCCAATTTTTGAGTGGGCGCCCAAATTACCTCTTCCCACCCGCTCAATCCCTTTCCAAAAATCCCTCCCCATATTAATCACGCTCAACTTCCCCACTCCTTGCCTCCGCGTTTCTCTCTCTCTCTCTCTTCCTTCTTCTCCTTCTGCCAACAATTAAATCCCCCTTCAACTGCAAAAAAATAAAACCCTAGCTCACTCTTGCTCTTCCTCCTCTTTTCTTCTTCCGACTAGGCCGATAGAGACAACGTGCGAACGACGGCGATGATGACGAGGTTGGCCACCATCATTTTCTCGTCTTCCGATCTCTCTCGACCTCTTTTACCTTTCTTCTCCGTCGCCAGCAGGAAGCTCAAATCCGACTACATAGGTCATTGTCCCGGTAAGATTGCCTCATGCATATCAGATTTATTTGTTCGATTTTGTTTTTATTGATGTTTATTATGTTTTTTTTTTCATTTTAGGGTGCTGATCGTTAGGATGGAAAGAGAACAGAGGCGGCGGCCGGATCTGGTTCAACGCCGGAGTCAAGGGGAGGAGCTGTAGCGGGCACAGTCTAGCGGCGATGATAGTGAGTTGCTGCGTGGTAGTGTCGTCGTCCCTGTCCGTCCGAAGGCGTTTTCTTCCTCTACCATTCCTCCGCTACTTCTAGATCTGGAATTGAGCTCTCTGCACAAGCTTTTCCCTTCATCCTCTGCTATGGCGAGCAAATCGAGAATACTTTTGGGGTTTTGTGTTTTTTGGAGTTTCTTGGGAACTTTCTTCAATTATTCAGCATCTTAATGCCATCGCATCGAGCTCTCACCGTTTGTACTCTTCTTTGTCGTTTGTACCCCTTGCAGATCTGAGTTTTTCTATTTAGTGGTTGTCGCTTGAACGAAATTAATTGAATGAGTGTGGTATTCCTTAGCAGAATCCAAAACTTGAAATATATCTTCTTTGGCAAAGATCTAGGCCATGATCTGGGTACGTCGGAATTTTTTTTTTGAATTTATAATTTGTGTCGGTTTTTCCGAAAACGATTTCTCCCAAAATCACCAGATTATGACAACCGCAATGACAATATATATCGTCATAACATCTATGTTTGTCACAATAGACTACCCAGAACTTCAGCTATACTGAAAGCAAATGTGACAACCTTGTTTTAAATTTTTGTCACATTTGATCTATCTTGACGGCGATAAAATGACAAACCTTTGTGACAACACCTTTTGTCATATTATACCTAATATGACAAAATGGATATCTAATATGACAAAATCGCCTCGTCATAAAAAGCCGAATTTGTTGTAGTGACCCTGTTCAATACACGAGTCCATAACACAATCCAAATAGAGTCACCATTACCACATGAATCCAACGGTCCTAGCTCCACTAATTCACAAAATCAACTAGCACAGCAGAGAGCTAGATAGGAAAAATCTTATACTTCAACATCCTCCATAGTGATACACTACCTTCCTAGGTTGCACATTACTATAGAGACTGTCAATTCAAAGCATACTGAGCAGGCAACTTGAAAGGGAACACGTACTTGGAGCCCTCAAATTTAAAAATTTGGACAGTGGACTAGGCTCCAAGCACACAAACAGATCTAATGCTGTCAAAAGAGAAACATCCCCCCACACTTATGCCCTGTTCACTTCCCATTTCATTTTCTGTTTTTTTGGTTAAAAAATGAAAATCAGGAAACAAATGGACATAAAACGTGTTCACTTGACCATTCCATTTTCCCTGGAAAACCCAATTATTACAAATGGGAAAACCATTAATACTCGTTTTCTGAATATAATGGGACGGGTTATCCCCCCGTTTCCCAGCGGAAAACGTACTAATCCCTCAAACCGACCTGCGTTCGATTCACCACAGACGCATTTTTTTTAACCCTTTTTACTTCTACCTCCTAAGCGCTGCCGTTTTTGCCCTCCTAAGCGCTGCCGTTTCCCTCCAGCAACCCTAGAAGAGAACTTCCTTCAGCCGCCATCGTCTTCCTCTCCTCCCTCCAGCCTCGAATCCCACTTCGTTCGCCACACCTCGCTGCCATTGTCTTCCTCTCCTCCCTCCAGCCTCTCCTCCCACTTCGTTCGCCACACCTCGCCGCCATCATCTTCCTCTCCCTCCAGCCTCTCCTCCCACTTCCTTCAACATCTCGCTCGTCGCCATCCGCCACACCTCGCCGCCATCATCTTCCTCTCCCTCCAGCCTCTCCTCCCACTTCCTTCTATCTCTCGCTCTGCCGCCAACCGCCATACCCCGCCGCCGTCATCTTCATCTCCCTCCATCGTCTTCCTCCTGCTAGCGACCCGTAAGAAGTAGAAGCAGCAACGAAGGGAGAGGACGCATTGCAGCAGCACCGAAGGAGGAAGAAGACGCATTGCAGCCCGCCCCGAACCTCTGTCTGCTGTTGACCCATTCCAGGTAATTACTCTCCTTTAAGCGACCCGATTAATGCTTTGTGCTGGTTTGGTATCCACTCTGGCAGTCTTTTGGTCTGTGAAACCATGGCCCAGACTTTGTCAATAGTCGCATCCACGATTGCTCTCACACTTCCATGCCATTTCAAGTGTACGATTTCGAGTTCCTGTGATTGGAGTTCATGTTCTAAGGAAAGGATATCCCACCATCGGCAGGTCATCGAAGAACTCCCCTCTTCTTCTCCTGAGAATCCCTCACTAACCATGGATGGTAAGCAAGGCTTCATTCGAGCATTTCCTCGAACACCTTTCCTACAATCCCTTTTTTTCAACAAGCTTCTGTGTTCTCTTATTGCGAATTCCCAACGTCCTGTTAGATTTTGATTCATTTCGTTTGTGGTTGAATTCGTGCAGCATCTCAGCCCAGGGAGGTCGAGGCCTCCGCTAAGGTAATAGACGGAAAATTGGTGGCCCAGCAAATGAGAGAAGAGATAGCCGCTGAAGTAACCAGGATGAAGGATGCGATTGGAGCTGTTCCTGGGCTTGCAGTGATCCTCGTTGGGGACAGGAAGGACTCCGCGACTTACGTGCGGAACAAGAAGAAAGCTTGCAAATTTGCTGGGATCAATTCTTTCGAAGTGCGCCTGCAGGAGTATTCGGCGGAGGCTGAAGTTCTCAAGCACATCGCGGCTTTCAATGATGACCCTGCAGTTCATGGCATTCTTGTCCAGTTGCCCCTACCAAAGGTACTACTAGTCATTACACTGGAAAGTTGAGCTCTTTGGAAAATGAAATGAACAAGGAATTCAAGGGCTTGAGATCGTGATGATGTATGTATGTTTTTCTGTTGCAGCATATGAATGAAGAGAACGTCTTGAATGCTGTTAGCATTGAGAAAGATGTAGATGGTTTCCACCCTTTGAATATTGGCAGGCTCTGCTGTAGGCCAATCGAATATGGTGAGAGGGAGTTGGTTAAAGCCTGGTGCCGTCGTCATTGATGTTGGAATCAATGTTGTTGAGGTGAGATAAGGCGACTGGTTGGGATATATACTCTGTGCTTTTCTTGATCATTTTGTCGATTGAACTACTGGTCCCTGCAATACTCAGCATTTTTCTTGATACTTTCCTCTACTGTTAGATGTATTTAACTGATTTGGAGAGGGTTGTTGGGGTGGTCTTGAGGAGGTCGAATTCCAGTTCCTTTTGGTGAGTGTGTTGGTCATTGACTGTTGCTTTGTTTTCTTGTTCTGATGCATGTTCAAAAGGATGCATCATGCTCTCGAGGGTATAAATTGGTTGGGGATGTTTGCTACGAGGAAGCCAGCAAAGTTGCATCTGCAGTAAATCCAGTACCAGGGGGAGTTGGTCCAATGACCATAGCAATGCTTCTTTCCAACCCATCTAACAACTTTCCCATGCCACCACGAGGTACAAAATGATTGTCTCTTTATTTTAGTAATTATAGTGCACATGGGGACGACACTCTGTTTGAAGAATATCAAAATTATTGCACGGGGGAGAATGCCAATGGAGTGCAAGGAGGACAAGAACGAGAAGCGTATAATCATAGTTCAAGCCAAACTCGAGCGATGGATGTACGACGAGATGGAATAACAGACAAGTTGTGGGATGACTTTCAAGCTGGACTTATTTGAATTTTTATGTTGTACTAGTACTTAATTAATATAAGATGTTGTACTTGTATTCTGTTTATTTGTAGTTTAAAAACTATTTAATTCAAATTAAAAATTATAATCATGTCTAGGGTTGTATGATAATCAAGAATCAGAAAACAGAATGAAGCAACTAAACAGGTTTTCATTTCAGAACTCAATTTCAGAACTCACCAAAATTCTCACCTAAACAAGGTTTTTTCAGGTTTTGTTTTCCAGGAAATGACAGCTTCGTTTTCATTTTAATTTTGTTTTCTGTTGTGGCAGCTAACAGAAATGGAATGGCAAGTAAACGGCCCATTAAGTTCGACATTGCCCTCAATGGAGAAGAGGGAAGGATAAGGGGAACGGTGTTACCGATTTGCATGGACTGCATGAGACAGGAAGCGGACCAGTCTGAGTGAAGAGGACTGGAGAGGGGACCAGTTAGGGACAAAGCACAGCTAAAGGGAACAGAAGAACTCAAACACAATCCGTTAGGTCCAATGGTCAGCCCAATAATACATCATCCAAAACAAAATAAAACAAACCAAAACCAAACTAGTTTACAATCCGACCCAAAACAAAAGAAGTAAATATAAACCGTGGTGGGGTTGCCTCCCCACAAACGCTTCTTTACCGTCTTTTAGCTGGACGCCCATGGTGGATACTCAGCGGGGTGTAGGGATAGGTGCCTCCAAGAGCGGATCCACATCGCTCTTGAGGTACAGCTTCAGATGGTGGTCATGCACCCGACGGGTGCAACCACCAGCATTGGTAAGCTCGACCTGGCCATCCGGCAAGATGCAGGCGAGTGAGTACTCGGATGGCCAGGGTGGTCGTGGTGCAGGAGGTGAGACCAGCTCATAGTGGTCGCCACCTTTCTTCCGAGCAGGCTTAGCCACCTGCGGCTTCGGCCGCCACTCCTCCTTGAGCTTTTTATTTGGAGGTGAGGTTGAAGGGAGTGGCGGCGAAGGCGTGAGAGGGGAGTCCTGCAAAACGAGAGGCACAGAGGGGTACACGATAGGCTCATGTACCTGGTGAGATAGCATGCATAGGTGTGACAGCAGGCATATCACAATGATCTAATTCAGCCACAAAAAAAGTAGTCTGTTCATTCCCAGCACGCAAGGTCAGTTTACCACTATGCACATCAATAAGTGCCTTGGCGGTGGCAAGAAATGGTCTACCCAGAATCAGAGGCACATCCACATCCTCATTTATATCCAGAATAACTAAATCAACAGGATATGTGAATGCGCCTACTTTAACGAGCAGATCTTTCATGATACCCCTAGGATGCACAATAGAGCGATAAGCTAACTGAATGCTCATCCTAGTAGGGCTAAGTTCACCTAGGTCTAGCTTTTTAAACAAATTGTATGACATGACATTTATGCTACCGCCTAGGTCCGCAAAGGAGTTCCCTACATGCATGATGCCAATATCAAGAGGGATAGTGAAACTCCCTGGGTCTTTACGCTTTTCGCGCAGCTTGTTCTGCAGGATAGCAGAACACTCCTCGCTCAGCATCACTGTCGAAAGATCCCCAAGTTTCTTCTTGTTGCTGAGGAGATCCTCCACGAACGGCATGATGATGTTGAGCTGCTTCAACATTGCCATAAACTTGGCAAACTCTGTCTCCAGCTTGTCTTTGTGTAGTCGAGTGGGGAAGGGAAGCTGGGGTATGTGCTCCTTAACCACTGGTTGTGGCTTGGGAGCAGGGGCTTCCTTCTCCACCCTCACTTCTACATCGTCGGCTGGAAATGATGAAACAGGCAGTGGCTCTTCATCCCTAGCCTAGGCAGGTACCGCCGATGTGGTCTTGCCACTCCTGGTGGTGATGGCATTCAGTTGCTGGTGCGGCTCCTGTGGATTGGGGATGGTAGTGGCACGTAGAGTTCCCGGTGCGCGGGTATTGTTCTGACGAGCTATCCCTCCAAGCTGATGTTGGAGGTCTTGCAGTATAGCACCTAGGTTCCTCTGACCTGCCTCCAGCGAGGCGATGCTTTGGTCTATGCTGGTAAAATTCGCCTGGATGGTAGTCATGAATGCCGCTAAAATGTTTTTCAGCTCCGTCATCTGATTATCTGGAGCCGGAGCTGCGCCTGGCTCGACATACTGACGCTGAGGCTGCTGAAATGGTTGCCCCTGCCTCGGCTGGTAAGGCTGCTACTGAAGGACTAGCCCCTGTCTAGCCTGGAAGGGCTGCCTCAGCTGAAAACCACCTGCTGGTGCTGGGAAACCAGGTGGTTTGATGTTGTGGCCATTCCAAGAGAAGTTGGGATGCTAGCGCCACCCCTCATTGTATGTATTGCTGTATGGGTCAAGGCGCCGAGCATTGGCGATGAAGTCCAACTGCTCTTGGGGAGTAGAAGACTCCCGCATAGCCTGGCAGTCTTCCACCAGATGATTTGTGCTCTCACATCACTGATATTGAGCTACTGGAGGTGTACCCAAACCTCTCCCCGGAATAAGACTGTTGGGCTGCTTCAATGTATGCACTAACTCGGCAACCTGCTGCTCGAGCCCGGACTTGGCCTCCATGGCGTGCACACCACGATCCCGGGAATTTCTTCCTCTGGTGCTCTGCCCCCAGGAGTGATCTCTGAAAGCCAAGGTACTGATCATCTGGTTCAGTTCGGGTGGAGTCTTAGTAAGAATATCCCCTCCTGGGCATAAAGACTCAATCACCCTCTAGTTGTCCGGAGAGAGAGCACTGTAGAAGTTCCCCACGGTGAATGCATCACTAAAGCCATGATGGGGACATTTCCAGAAGAATCCCATGTACCGCTCCCATGCATCACGAAGTGACTCGTCTGGCTCCTGGCGAAAGTGAGTGATCTCTCGCTGAATCTCTGTAGTCTTCAATGTCGGATAGTACCTGTGCACGAACTTGTTGGCCAGATCGTCCCAAGAAGTGATGGACAATGGGGGCTGGGTCTCTAGCCACCTCTTAGCATGACCCGCCAAAGAATGGGGGAAGAGGTGAAGGTGGATCGCATCATCAGGGACACCGTTCATCTTAAACCCATTCGTCAGCCGCAGGAAACGGGAAAGATGCACCCTTGCCTCCTCATCCTTCAAGCCATGAAACTGGATAGAGGATGTGATGAGTTGAATCCAGCATGGCTTGATCTCGAAATTTTTCGCTGGAATCGGAAGATAGAGGATGACAGGGCGAATATCAGCAACCCGTGGAGTGTAGTAGTACTCCAAGTGGGACCCGGAGGCGGTGGTTGATGATGAACCCCATCTGCCTGGGGTATTGGGTTGTTCCCCAGGATCTGGTTCACTGCGGGAACCTGGAGAGGTATCCCCTGGGGTGGGTTATGTTCGTCTTCCATCTCGTACTCATTCTCGGAATCGCTGCTCAACTGGCCATATATGCGCTCCTCCATAGCCAGTCTAGCTCGCTGTTGTCCCCTAAGTTGGCGACAGGTGCGTTCAAGCTCTGGATCCAACGGCAGTAAACCTCCTGACTGGCTACGGGTCATGCACTACCTGCACACAGTCAAGCAGGAAACCCGTGAAGGCACAAGGGTGACAAAGCAAACAATGCGGAAAGGATAAGCTAAATTAACAGAATTCACGTTTCTTCAACAACCTAGCAGTCCCCGGCAACGGTGCCAAAAACTTGACTAGCTCCTACTGTCACTCTAGAAAATGGCCAAGTATAACCACCTCCTAAAGCGTAGTATAGCGGGTTTGGGTTTTAATGTCAACCCGGGTCCTATATGTGATGACTACTCCGTGAGTTCTTATTATTTAGCAGTGAAACTTTAGTGAAGGTCCAAACAAGCAAACAAGCAAAGCTAGTAAAAAGGTTCTTTTCAAGTCGAGAGAGGTCACCCGGATATGGTTCCCCCTAGACTGCAGTTAGGCCGGATTGTAATTTACCAAGTTCTGGTTCAATGATAATTATACTGCGGGAGGTTCTTAAACAGTCTGTAGTCTCGACTAAAGGTCTCCAGACCCTCTCAATCTGAGTCTCCAGCGGGCGACTAACCTCTATCGGAGTAAACAGATTGAGGCCCTAACGAACCAAACCTCCACTACCGAAGTAAATTCGGTACATAATAATGAATTGACTTCTCGACTAAAGTCGCTAATTCACTACCTTCAATCAAGTGTGCTCTATCAACCTAGGTAGATATTCACTTTCTAGGTTAAAGCAGAAATAACAGGAAGTTGATCAGGATTCATGCCATTCAATAAATCAAACCTCAATTGAATATAATCATATCACAGAATCTGTACTTGGGTTCATACAATCAGACCTAACATACAAATCTAGGGTTCTTCATACCCAGGTGAATAAGGAAGTTACTCCATAGAGAGATATGGAAAATCTAGCTCAGATGCCGAAACCATACTGCGAAGGATGGGAATCTGCTTCTGGCACTCAGTCAGGTCTTCTCCAAGCTCAAGCCGGGCTCCAATGGTGATGGAGATCGATCTATGACACTTGCAGGATCAATTTCGTCACTTTCTCTCTCTAGGTATCGCTCTTTCTCTCTAAAACTCGGAACTCCTTCTTTTGCTGGAAATTGGATTAAAACCCAGAAATTCTTGACTCACACGGCCGTGTGACTTTCCCAGCTGCCCTTGTAGCTTTGCAAAACGCGGCGTTTCGTTAAGTGACTTCAGGCTTCCTACATGGCCAGACCCACACGGTCGTGTTGATTTCCAGGATGCCCGTGTGAGTTCCCTGAAATTTCCACACGGCCACAAGGGGTCCCCTACACTGCCCGTGTGATTTTTCCCGTGTAATTCGATGTCACACGGCCAGGTCACACGTCCGTGTAGGGTTTAGGCGTGCCCGTGTGGCTCCATCAACTTCCCGCCAAATGTCCATCTTCGTCCAATCGACCCCGAACTCATTCCCTGGCCTTCATTCACGTACTAGGACCTAAAATATCACAAACAAGAACAACCTAGCGTGAAATCGGCCTAAAATGCGAGAATCGACATCTCAAACGACTCAAGAATAGGGGTAAAAACATGCGTAATCAATGGTCTATCAGTTAGCCTTCGTCCGCCCTGCATAGAAGGGAGGCTGACCGGGCTGAGCTATCCGGGTGTACAACACCTTGAAATTAACACTTTCTGGATTAGTGAGCTCGGTGACATAGTCCTCGTTATCGTGCGGCCGAGGTCGAGAGCGACCGCTAAATCATGGTAGCTCATGGAGCGGGGTCACCGCCGAGCCTGAACTTGACGGCTTCGCCGTCCGCCCAGTCGGTTGTCTCTTCATGCTGAAAGGTCGTATAGAACTCGAGCACCAGCTCGTGGTAGACCTTCTCGCGAATAGACAACAGTCGGTGCCATGTGCGGTTGGTGGCAATAGCGAGGACGTCTTCATAGAAATTTAGCTTCTCAAACTCCCTCCTGGACCAATAGTGATGATTCCCAAACTTCGATGCCAGGACGCGCTTAAAGCGATCCTTGTGGGGGCCTCTCTTCAAATCGCGGATGAACTGATGCTTGAGGTCAGGTTTCGACAAGGTCTTATAAGAAAGCAAAACCAAGTGAAGCCAAAAGAGCCATAGAAATGGTCAATCACACCCCCACACTTGATAACAGAAAAAAACTGAACCATAGTTTCATCCATAGTTCGGGGGTCAATAACTCGAGCAAACAAGCACAATCTGGGTGGGAGTGCACATCCACAATAAAGTAGGCAACTTAAGGTTCACATCCATAGCAAAAACACTATCAAAGCACATCATTAAGGGCCCCAACCGGCTCCCACAAAATGATATGAAAAACTGGCATTTCATCGAACACTTTGTGTGCACTTTTGAGTGAAGCATAGAATGGGCAAATTCCTAGCACCCTAACACCCAATTCTCCACAATTCACAAGGTAAAGGGAAAAATCAAACCTGGAGACACAAGTAGAGGTGTATGGGATGATGAGGGGAAGGCAATGGAAGCGACGGAAGCCCGATATTCGACCCGAAAATGTTCGTCGCAGCCTCGCTGGAGTCTCGCCGCCAATCGCCTTCGGTGACCCAAACCGGCTCAAATCGCCACCAAAATCAAGGGAAAGGCCGACAATGAGGAGGGAAGGTTGGGTGTGGTGTTGGTTTGGTGAAAAACCGACCAAAAATGGCCGGAAAATCGCCAAAAAAAGTGAAAGGTCGCGGTTTTCCAGCAAGGAGGAGAGGATTCTGGCGAGGGGGAGAGGATTTTGCGACACAGACAGGCCACACGGCCGAGAGATTCATATGGCCGTGTATCGGCCCCCAGCTGCCCGTGTGGGATTTCCAAGGGCTTCACACGGCCAAAGGGGAAATCCACACGGCCGTGCAGGATTTAGGCATGTCCGTGTGGAATTCCAGAACCCCGGTTTCAACCAGTTTTCGCGCAAAAACGACATTTGAACCTTGGACAACACCTCAAGACTCAAAAAATACAAAAAAAAAAAAAGGAAAGGAAATGCAAACCTAGGTGGGGTTGCCTCCCCACAAGCGCTTCTTTACCGTCTTTTAGTTGGACGCCAGTAGAGGAACTAAGGTTCCTCGAGCTTGATCAGCAGCTCTGCGCGCTCGACTGCACCTCCCAAGTACAACTTTAGGAGGTGGCCATTCACCTTGAACGACTCAGTTTGTGCATTGCTGATCTCCATCGCACCGTGCGGGAAAACTTGGGTGACTGTGAAGGGTTCCGACCACCTCGAACGTAGCTTTCCCGGAAAGAGTTTCAGGCGTTCATTGAAGAGCAGAACACGATCACCTACCTGAAACTCCTTCGGGCCCCTCAACCGAGCGTCGTGGAGACGCTTGGTTCGCTCCTTGTAGAGCACGGTGTTCTCGTAGGCGTGGTAATGCCATTCCTCCAACTCCAGCAGTTGTAGCTTACGTTCAGTACCTGCAACACTCAAATCCAGGTTTAGCAGTTTAAGGGCCCAGAAGGCTTTGTGCTCTAGCTCTACTGGCAAATGATATGCCTTCCCATAGATAAGCCTATAGGGTGAATTACCAATCTGGTTCTTGTAGGCTGTCCTGTATGCCCAAAGAGCATCATCGAGCTTGGTGGACCAATCATTGCGGGAATGATCCAGGGTCTTTTCAATTATTCTTTTAAGCTCTTGGTTCGTCAGCTCGGCTTGACCTTTTGACTGGGGATGGTAAGCCACCGGCACCTTATGCTTAACACCATAGTGAGAAAGGAGCTTAGTGAATTTCCCTTGAAAATGGGTTCCTCTATCACTAATGATGGTGCGAGGTGTCCCGAACCGGGAGAACAGCTGCTTCAGAAATGAGCAGACCCGTCTTGCATCATTGGTGGGCATGGCTTGAGCTTCTGCCCACCTCGAGACGTAGTCCACTGCCACAAGTATGTACATATTTCCAAAAGATGGAGGGGATGGGACCATGAAATCGATCCCCCAAACATAAAAAAATTTCACAAATGACAGAAATATGTTGGGGCATCTCATCCCGGGAAGAAATGTACCTGACCTTTGGCAGTGGTCGCACTGTCGTGCGAAAGTGTATGCATCCTTAAAGAGTGAGGGCCAATAGAAGCCCAACTGTAGCACCTTCCGCGCCGTGTGATTTCCTCCGTGGTGACCGCCAGTAGGTCCCTCGTGGCATTGAGACAGGATGTCTCCCATCTCGTGCTCCATGACGCAGCGCCTAATCACGCCATCTGCTCCGATCCTGAAGAGATAAGGATCCTCCCAGAAGTAATGCTTTAGGTCGGATAAGAACTTGCACTTTCATGAGTGGCAAGTTAGGTGAAAAATTTGTTCAAGATGAAATTAATTCGGAAAAATGGTCAATTTTGCAGGGATTACTTCTAGAAAATTGTTAAAGGAGGTTAAGGGATCTTTGGAGTGAGGTTTGAGGATGCGGCTTTGAGGAGAGGGTGTTTTTGTAAATTAAAAGGGTTTTTAAATCTAGAAAGGTTGTCTTAGAGAAACGAGTTTCTTATTAATAGGTTTCCTGGGATAATCCGGTAAGGGAGGAAAGAAAGGTGAGAAAGTTAGTTGTCGATCAAACTTCGTAGTCTCGCCTGATGAATAGGTTCACACCTGTGAGTAGGAGAGGTAGAGCCGTGACTGGCGGAAGCGGGAGAAAGGCTGTAAACTCGGTGATGGCGACTGTTGGTGGTCAAGCGACGAAGAGGCTCCGACCCTATCCTCCTAGACGAACTGGGATGTCGGCAGTTCGAAGTTGGCCGCTGAATTGTGGCCGGAGGAGGGACCTCGAAGAGAATGGCGGTGGAGCTCTAACGGTGAGGATCGTCGAAAAGGAAGACGATGAACCGATAGAGGAGGAGCCAAATGAGGAAAAACATCCGGAGCTTGAGCATTAGAATGCAGACGTTGACGCGACTAAAGAGGTGAGTATAAAGGGGGTAATATCTCAATCGTAGGTCTTTTAGTTTATGCCTTTATTTTCTGTAATGCTAGTTAATTTTTGAGTTATGCGCGATATGTGTGTAAGGCATCCCATCGCCTACTTAAGGTGGAGGCATGCGTTGTGCTATGCATGAATGCATGGGTGTATGATTGTAATAGTTGGTTGATGGTAAGATGAACCCCGGGCAGTTGGGCCACTACTGGACGAGGTAGATGATCGTATCACTGCTGAACGGTGAGACGTAACGTAATAGTTGATCGGGCATGGACTGGATGGCGAGACATAAGGTAGTGCCATTGCCAAGTTTGGGTATGCAACCGGACGGCGAGATGTAACGCGGTTGGCATACCTGGGTAGGGACACCGGACGATGATACGTAACGAGGTGGTCCCTAGTGTTTGGTATCTAAGTTAAGGATAGAAGTAGCGAACTTCTACGAGTTTAGGATAGAAGTAGAGAGCTTCTATAAGCTAGTTGAAAGGATGATTATTAAGATCAGAAAGCGAGAACGGTTTTCGTGTTAGGAAGGAAACTCTAATAACGTGTTAGTAGAAAGTTTGCCTAGGGCAAAGACCTTAGAAAGAAACGACGAGACTAACCCATTCTCACTCACCAAGTCGACGAAGGGTTAGCATAGGCGGATTCAAGAAGAGGCAAGGCAAGGCGAGTAGCTGCACCAACATTGATGAAAAGTCAAGTAGCTCGTAAAGAGTCAGAGTTAGAATAGTTTAATTTCTTTGTTACATGGTTAGGAGTATAAACTGGAAATCTGAGTTCATTCATTTTAAATATTTGGATGTCATTTTCCCAAGTGTTCAGTCTTTTTGTTTGAAATTCTCAAACATTGTCAGTTTGTTTATTTTAGAAAGTGGTTTGTGTTGCTCCGGAGTAACCGGTTTTCGGTTTGAGTTATTGTTTGCTTTTTGAAATGGAGCGGGTCGTTTCAAAAGTTTTGAGGGAGTGAACATTTGAAGGTAATCAAATGATGAGGGGAAAGTGGTGTTCAATTTTGAAGGAAAAAATGAGGAGAAAAGAGACCCAATAAGAGGCAATTTTTTCTGTTGAATAATTGTTCTAATTTCCTCAAATTCCTCCCATTTTTTTCTTCACCCTCTATTTTCCCTCCATAAACAGAGGATTATGGTATGATCATAAACTGAGGATTATGGCATGGGTAGAAGAGATAGAATGGGTTGGTTGAATAATTGTTCTAATTCTCTCTAATTCCTCCCAAGTTTTCTTCACCTTCTATTTTTCCTCCTTCATAAACTGAGGATTATGGCATGAGTAGAAGAGATAGAATTGTTTGATCATCACCCGTTCCATACTAGCTTGCTCAAATCAACATAAGCATAATCTCATATCTCAGAAAATCTTCTTACCGATTATACTTCTATTGAAAAATATCCTACATCCTATCAACTTTACTTCTCAATATCCTAACACACCCTTTCTTACTCTAACCTTGGGTTATTACTTATTCGTGGTAATTCCCCACTTGGGAGTCTTTTCTTTGCATGGTTAGGGTTTTGTTATTATGATGATGTTCCGAGTAAGTTGTGTTTGTTTCCATGAGAATTTGATGGGTACAACCTCCACTGGAGGATTAGAGAATGACAAATGCCAGTATTAACAGATCATCTACTAAACAACCGGATAGGTGGAGGAAAAAATGGAATTTCATCGGTGAAAAAGAGAGAATATGCAGAACGCGAGAGAGATTGGTTTCTTCAGACCGTGGCACCTACTAGAGTCTTCAAAAAGTGTTTATAGTCCCCTGAAGTGTCGCCAGTGATTGCATCCTCTAGGTTGGTCCCAAACATTTTTGTATACTCTTCTCGTATCCTCAACAGATCAATCTCGGCTCGGGTCACTATCGCCCTAGTCAGTGATTTTTCATCTGTTCCAAGCCCACTAACGGATGTTCTGATGACCTGCCATCACCAACAATGATTCTTCAGAACTAGACATTATTTCTGACAGAGACCAGCCAGCAAACTGGAATTACAACATCACCTCAGCAAAGTGTTTTGCAGGGCAATATATGCACTGAACGGCGGCCCTTAGAAGAGACTCCAAATCACCCTCTCCATACTCCTTGAGATCCTGCAGAGAAAGGGAAAGCTTTTTTTCATAATTATGCCGCCTAGCAGTAGCAACAACGACAGACACACACATACACATAAACCACGATGTTGTCACTTGTCAGCAGGGTCAAACCAAAACCTGATCAATGGGATTCCCGAACCGCTGCTTGTACAGCTCGAAAGTGGTTTTGAGCTGGTACTTATTCCTAGTACTGAGAATGTAAACCACATCATCATGATCCAACTGCTTTGTCTTGATGGCTTCCCGCAATTTGGCTGCTTCCGAGTTTGCAAAGTTCATGTCCACCAGCTCTTTGTCATACCTGTAAGACCGCACCAACGCCCCCAAAAGCTGCAAATGAAGGCAAGGGAATGAATGATTTGATTGACAAGGGAGGGAATTTGCTAACGAGTGGAAGATACTGAGAGTAGGAAGAGTGTCTAGTGTTCACCTTTCTAAGGGGGAAGGAGATGTGAGTAGCAATGTCCTCTTCAAGCGAGGAATCGAAAAGGGTACAGTAAATCTGCTTCACCGATTGCAGATGGTGGGGAGAAGTGGCACATGCCATCTCTACCATGACTTGCAACTGCTTGAACCCTTTCTTCTTTCCTATCAACGCTTTGTTTGCTAGTACTGCATCCCGCTCCGCAGGATCATAAGTCCATAGAATCATTGCTCGCTGCAGCGACAAATCGAAATCGATTAGCAGAGAATGAAGGGATGAGATGAGACAGAGGAGGTTACCCTGAAATCGCTAGAGAGCTCTGAGTGGAGGCGATCGATGAGGGATTGATGGTAAAGCTGCTGGTAAGTGTCTCGAATCTTCCTCCTTTGGGTCGCATTTCTGTGCCCTAGGATCCATATCACTGCCTTCTCATCTGTTCCTACTCCTGTTACCCAATTAACCACGCAACAATTCAATTAATTCATGCTTTTTGGGGGAAACCAGAGAGACAGAGAGAGAGAGACCTTTGAAAGCCTTCCTGAGCCGCTCGCTGTCCTGGGTTGGAGAGGGAACAACTTCGGGCACTCTGAGAGTCGTCATTTTCCTTTTCTCCACAAACAAACACTCAGTCGCGAAAAAATATATATTAGTAAATGGATTGCTGTTGGCGTTGCCCCCTCAGATGCAATTCACAAAATACACGACAAGAACCTTGTTTTGTTGTCAGTTGCTTCAATTCTCTTATTTCTATTTTCCCCCCTTCTTTTTACCAACTGAATTTTTAATTTGTGTGATTTAACGAAAAAGTCGCTCTCTATCTCTATTTACCCGCCTAATGCCAAGCAAACCAAGACACCAAATAGGGGGGTGAATGGTCCTTCATTCTTTCATTCCAAGTTCATCACACACTGCCCCCTAAACTTGTTCAAAATCCTATTCCATAGCGTTCCAGGATTTATTTTTGGTGTGGATGATAATGTCACAAGTTTTGTCATTTATGTATACAAAATTTCATCTCGTACGTTAGTAGAATATGATGTTAGACCAGCTGCAATAGGAATGCTAAAGTGCTACACTTGGTTTCGAACTTTAGCGCCAAAAAGTGGTTTTCTCTCAAATAAGGAAATCTAGTGTAGTGTAATTTCATAACTTAATTAGATATTCGGTAGATTATTTGTACTAGTTTCTTGACCCGCGCTTCGCAGCGCTAATAAACTAATAATAATAATAGTTGAAATCATATTATACACAATATTGTTCGGTCAAATACTTGTATAAGCATTGTTGTATCTTTATTATTATGGAAGACTTACATAATATGTTTGTTTAATTGATACATAACAAACAACTATCCATTATAAGTTTTACCTAAGTAATTTATGTAATGGTGTCTAATAATAATATCAAGTTACAGATAAGTATCACATTTTATTAAATTATTACGTAAAATTTATTTATCTTACGCAACCTTTGCGTATTACAAATTGATGAGATGAAGAATATAGTAGGTAATACCAAAGGAATTGTATTTTAAAAAAAACTGAATTAAGTTACAAAATGTATCACATTCAATCAACAATTTAGTTAAATATTACTATTTTTTGTTCAATGTATAATTAAACTACAATGTAAATTTTAACTTATCTTAGAAAACTTTTTGTATAATAAAAATTGATGAGATGGCGAACATTGTAGTGAATAATAAAGTATCACACTTACTTTTGTGTAATGAAAATTATTAAAATTACACAAATAATTAGGGCTGGCTATTTGGTCCCGGATTGTTTGGTTTTACCCGAAACCGGACCGTATAACCCGGACCGGGACCGGACTGGGATCGGATAGCAAACAATGCAATCTCATATTTGGGCTTAGATTTGAGGTAAAAAACCGG